AGCCGTACAAGGGCGGTCACACCTGTCTGTCCACCACCAGCCCGGGACGAGTTTAGCCCGTTACATGACGAACTTACTCTTTACTCTTGCACTCGGACTCTTTATCAGCAAAAACAGCGAGGCCCCGCGAACGCGGCGCAAGCCATATCAGCACTTCGACCCACCCCACGAGTCCATCAACAGCACCCGAGCGGGCGTTTCCCCACTCGGCGAGCCGGCCGAGCCGGGTGGCGGGAGGGGCCGACCGCTGCTGACCGGGACCGCCGACCCCGACTGACCATTGGCTTGGCGCGCTTGAAGCCGGAGAAGGGCGTGATCTGATGGCCTCGCAGGCCCAGCGTGTCGCCCACCTGAGCCTCGCTCGCCGTCCGGATGTTGGCGTGTATGTAGCCCACCTGACCGGCAAACCTGCCGCACAAGACCGCCGTGAGGGCGAGGTCATTGCCCGGTCTCGGCGGCGACCCGGCCGCACAGGAACAGCACTGGATCACGGCAATCTCAGCTGAGACTATCAGACGAAGGCAATGCTGGTGCCGGCGACTGCTTGACAAACAACGCGTCGGATATCTCAAGTGGCGCAGCATCTAACAGTACATCAGGATGACTGCACTTGCGACACGGATCACCTAGCAGTCCGTCCACCTGCTGTATATGCTGCAACGCCTGAATCCACGTTTTCACAGCAGACCCCTCTTAAAAGCCCGGCAGCGTGCTCGCAGCAGCCAGCGAACACTGACGCCACCGCCATAAAGTCGAGCGCAGGGCTCCATCTGCCGTCCGAGCACAGGGAGGGCAGGCCCGACCACTCACAGACGCTGGACGGGCGTCTCGTGCGGTCGCAGCAGGCCCACCTCGCGGACCTCGTACGCGCGGCTTGACTGCTGCGAGACCACCACGTCCCCGGCCGCCAGCTGACCGTCCACCACCGCCACCAGCGGCACGCAGCCCTTGTACCGGTCAAACCTGGCCGGCAGGGGGCGGCGTGAGGGGCGGGAGCGTGGGACAGCGCGTGTCCATGGCGTGAGGGCGCCCGCCTTCGGTCGAACGAGACACGGCCGGGCAGGGCCGGCGTGAGGGGCGGGATCGTGGGACAGCGCGTGTCCAGGGCGTGAGGGCGCCCGCCTTCGGCCGAACAAGACAAGGCCGGGCAGGGCCGGCGTGAGGGGCGGGGCCGGCGTGAGGGGTGGGAGCGTGGGACAGCGCGTGTCCAGGGCGTGAGGGCGCCCGCCTTCGGCCGAATGAGGTACGGCCGGGCGGGGGCGACTGCTGAACACGGCGGCAGTGCTGGTCATGTTGGTGACGACACGGGGGGACGAGAGCGGAATGATCAGCAGACAACAGTTCATCGAAAATGTCTTCATTGACACGGCAGGGAGATTCGCAAACCACTAATCGAGCATTCCAGATATTCAAAGAAGTGCACTCAGTGCTCTTCAGTGCTGTGCCGCGACACTGCCAAGCTGCAGCGGCGCTCACCGCGACACTGCCAAGCTGCAGCGGCGCTCACCGAGACACTGCCGAGCTGCAGCGGCGCTCACCGAGACACTGCCAAGCTGCAGCGGCGCTCACCGAGACACTGCCGAGCTGCAGCGGCGCTCACCGAGACACTGCCGAGCTGCAGCGGCGCTCACCGAGACACTGCCAAGCTGCAGCGGCGCTCACCGAGACACTGCCAAGCTGCAGCGGCGCTCACCGAGACACTGCCGAGCTGCAGCGGCGCTCACCGAGACACTGCCGAACTGCAGCGGCGCTCACCGAGACACTGCCAAGCTGCAGCGGCGCTCACCGAGACACTGCCGAGCTGCAGCGGCGCTCACCGCGACACTGCCGAGCTGCAGCGGCGCTCACCGAGACACTGCCGAGCTGCAGCGGCGCTCACAGAGACACTGCCGAGCTGCAGCGGCGCTCACCGAGACACTGCCAAGCTGCAGCGGCGCTCACCGAGACACTGCCGAGCTGCAGCGGCGCTCACCGAGACACTGCCGAGCTGCAGCGGCGCTCACCGAGACACTGCCGAGCTGCAGCGGCGCTCACCGCGACACTTCCGAGCTGCAGCGGCGCTCACCGAGACACTGCCGAGCTACAGCGGCGCTCACCACGTGTCGAAGATGAGAGCGCGTGTGGGCGCATCGCGGCGGCAGTGGACGGGCGCCGGCACCTCGGTTATCACCGATGTCAGCACAGACTCCACGTTCGTACCCAGCTTGGCCGATATCTGACAACAGAGGCAGTAATTAGAGCCGGAGGCAGCCTGATGGTGTGGGCGCTTCGTGCCAACGGAGCACTTGGCCGCCGCTAAGTCACCCTCAAGGGCTTCAAATTTCACTGAAAGACCTTGTGAGACAACTCGGGGATGCGGCAAGACATGCCCATAGGAACCGGTGGCGCAAATGTAAACTATGTCAATATGCGGCCAAAGACACCAATATTCACGGCATCCAGGCCACAGCTCGCAGCCATAGATAGTTATACAGTATGTCGGTGGAAGCAAGTGTGATGTGTCTGGTGGGATTCGTCTAATGCCGTTTAACGCAAACATCAATACAGTAACAACAGCAACTCCACGCAGGGAACACACACTACATTGGACTTCCCCGCCTTTCGGCCTTCACACAGACGAGCTAAGCTCCAGCTCAGCACGCTTCGTCGCCGATCGGCCGGATCATCCTCGTCCCACCCGCTAGCCAGGGCTCCGGAGCCCAGACCTACGCCTGTCGCGACCGCACGGCTGTGCCGACCGTCGCCGTCGCACCCGGCGGCGCCGCTCACCAAGCAGATCCTGTCCTACGCCTGTCGCGACCGCACGGCTGCGCCGACCGTCGCCGCGCTCGCCAAGCAGATCCTGTCCTACGCCTGTCACGACCGCACGGCTGCGCAGACCGTCGCCGCGCTCACCAAGCAGATTCTGTCCTACGCCTGTCGCGACCGCACGGCTGCGCCGACCGTCGCCGCGCTCGCCAAGCAGATCCTGTCCTACGCCTGTCACGACCGCACGGCTGCGCCGACCGTCGCCGCGCTCACCAAGCAGATCCTGTCCTACGCCTGTCGCGACCGCACGGCTGCGCCGACCGTCGCCGCGCTCTCCCAGCGGATTCCGCCCTACGCCTGTCGCGACCGTACGGCTGCGCCGACCATCGCCGCGCTCTCCCAGCAGATTCCGCCCTACGCCTGTCGCGACCGCACGGCTGCGCTGACCGTCGCCGCGCTCTCCCAGCAGATTCTGTCCTACGCCTGTCACGACCGCACGGCTGCGCCGACCGTCGCCGCCGCACCCGGCGGCGCCGCTCTCCCAGCAGATTCCGTCCTACGCCTGTCACGACCGCACGGCTGCGCCGACCGTCGCCGCCGCACCCGGCGGCGCCGCTCACCAAGCAGATCCTGTCCTACGCCTGTCACGACCGCACGGCTGCGCCGACCGCCGCCGCGCTCACCCAGCAGATCCTGTCCTAGGCCTGTCGCGACCGCACGGCTGCGCCGACCGTCGCCGCGCTCTCCCAGCAGATTCCGCCCTACGCCTGTTGCGACCGCACGACTGCGCCGACCGTCGCCGCGCTCACCCAGCAGATCCTGTCCTACGCCTGTCGCGACCGCACGGCTGCGCCGACCGTCGCCGCTCTCCCGGCAGATTGTGCCCTACGCCTGTCACGACCGCACGGCCGCGCCGACCGTCGCCGCGCTCACCCAGCAGATCCTGTCCTACGCCTGTCACGACCGCACGGCTGCGCTGACCGTCGCCGCCATGCCCGGCGGCGCCGCTCACCCGGCAGATCTTGTCCGGGTCGCAGTCGAACAGACGCTGCATCTGCGCCACGGCTCGGTCCGGGTCGGCGTGGCGTAGGTCGATCTTGTTGACGGCTGGCACGATGGCCAGCTCGCTGGTGAAAGCCAGGTAGAAGTTGGCCACAGTCTGCGCCTGCACGCCCTTGTTGGCATCCACCAGCAGCACCACGCCCTGACACGCCTGTGCCGCAGATCAGGTCAAGTCATGTCAGTGGCGGGGGCACGCACGCTAGCCCCACCGCGCGCGGTCAGGGGTAGTCGGGCTCAACCTACTCTGAACGGAAGTGGATGAACTGCACCTCACTTATGCTAAACATACGGTTCGTATGTCGTCGAAAGCGCGTGTGGGTCAGCCCCGCCCTCGGGTGTCGATTTTCACGTGGGCAGCAGCGTGACCGAGTCCGCTGGCTCCTCGGCCAAGTGGTCTGACAGTAACAATGCTGCCACAGGCTTACCTGCAATGATCGGGACACCTCGTAACTGAAGTCTACGTGTCCTGGAGTATCAATCAGGTTGAGCAAATATTCCTCGCCGTTCTGTAATTCAACAAAAAGGCTAAAGTAAGCGCTTTGAGTAAAAATATTGGCGCATGATGGAACACAGCGATTGGCCTACGCGGACCATGAAGGGAGCCTCCCCCCCCCCCCCCCAACCAAAAATGTTCCAAGTTAACCATTGTTCACAGAACACATCACTTTACCAGACCAATTCAAAGTTAAGTGCCAAGTTAAGAGTGAAAAGATTCGTACTACTCAGTCTTCCTCGTGGAAACGACGATGGAGCATTAAATGACATACAAATGAAACATGCCACCACAAACAAAACGTCCGACGTATTTCGAATACTCTGCGCAGACATAAGTTGAAAGCACCGGGCGGTACATGAAGCACACCCAATACCACGAAGCTTCCTTTATTATGTTCCAATGACGCGAAGCAACATTTACGCAAACTAACAAATGCCCGTGCGATGGCAAAGCAATGGCAATTGGCCATGTCAAAAAGCGGGCGTCACTTTTAAGGCCTATATCAAACATCACATCAACAGTCACGCATCAAACAAGCAGGGGGAAGGAGCATCTAATAATGCGGCTAATGTTTTTGAGTAGCACTAAGCATGTCCCACAAATTGCATACACATTTGCTGTGCTACAAACCAGCTGGAAACATTGCTCATTGGCATAACTCTTCAACATGATAAAAGAAAACGTAGAATTAATTGAACAGCGCATCCTGATCTATTCACCCGCCTCACTGTTGAGTGAAATAAATGATAGGAAAGCTGTGCACCTGTGCTGGGAGTAATAATCAGCCAGCATAGGCGCACAGCGGTCCTATCGCCAACTGAGCACCTGTGTCCAGCAGCGCGCCTCACGTGTGTGTAGAACAGGGACGCTGTTTGCGCCTTGACGGTGATACCGCGCTCGCGCTCCACCTGCAGCCGGTCCAGCACCTGCATGTTCCGCGAGTCCGCCGAGATAGCACCTGACAACAAGAGCACAACTGACGTCACTAAGTGATGCCTCGCGGTATAACTGGACCTAAAACTTAACACGTGCCCGAGTGGCCGGTTGGATACGCTACGCTCGGGTGGGGGTCAATTTGACTCCCCCCCCCCCCCCGAGATCTCAGGAACTAAGTGAACTGGAGGCGCCAAACTCACAGGGTGTGTTGATCTGTACGTGAACTCAGTCAGGCCAAAGTTTGAGATTCCTAGGTTATGACCTTCCGGTCAAATAAGGTCGAACAAGATCAAATTCCAGGTCGGTCTCCAACGAACCCCTAGAACCTAGGTAACTGTTCTGAGCGAAGGGTAACATGCTCCTCTAAGGTCAGTGAACTTGTGTGATTTTTTGAAGGTCATGCTGACCAAAATCACACAGGACCGCTTCGGGTTTTGCATCTGGATAAGCCGCGAATGTTACGCTATGCAGTATGTTCCTAAAAACAAAATGTTGGGCTAGATCATTCCAGGTCAGTGACCTATTCTGACCTTCAAGAAGTCTATGGAAGGTGTATAATGTGATTCCTATTATCAATAAATTCGAAATGAGCCCCAGGAGCTACCCCATACAGCAAGCGTTAGAGTAACAAAACAGGTTAGATTGAACCTTGGTCTGACCTTTGCATCTGACCTTAGGTCAATGTAATTTATCCGTTGAATTGTTGTGTTGCCGAAAAAAAGGAGCTCAGAGATGTATAGCTTCGTCTGACATGACTTGGGTAACGATACGCTCCGCCGGACATCTCGCCTACTCCCTTCTCAGTTTATCTTCGGCGTTAACATTGGTTGTTTAGAATGCGATCATCATTCCTTTGTCCCTTCCCTGTCCTGACCTGCCGTTGCTCCCACTGGTCCCTATAAGTTACCAACCTTCATTCAATTCTACGCATTCATCCCACTACCATCATACGTTGCGTTCATTCATCGTATCCTATTCAACTTCGGCCTCACACATTTACCCCTCTAGTCCCGTCCAGTGGCACACGGCGTCGGGGTGGAGTACTAATACCTGATATAATGACAAATTGCGATTTTGGGAGACCGGAACGCAAGTTTGCAATGTTAATTCCTCGTCATCTAAACACGTCGGGCTCTTTCACACGGGGATCGAGTTCATCCGGGAGAGGGGGTAAAACCGTATAGCAAAATATCCTTCCCGTCAATACAGGATGGTTTTCATCATAAGTGTCTCCCAGGTAGCATCCTTGCCCTCAAGGAGGGCCTGCCCTCCACGCAGTGATATCCTGGCTGGGGTCTTAGCCGTCTTCGCCCAGCACATTTTTCGTAAATGTATTTACGAGAAACATGTGGCGACTGCGCCGAGTCGCATCCTCTACAACGTCTTGTGAGCACTCTCCCTGTTTTATGAGAGTCAGGCCGTCCGGACTGTTTGCGCCAGCTTCAGTTGGCAACGAGCACGACAACGGCGCACAGCTAACACACTCTTGCCCTGTAGTCCTGAGTGGCTCTTCATCCTCAGCATCGTCCAGGATGCTTCCTACCCTGAGGAGAGCCTGCCTTTCCCAATGTCAACCATTCAATGATTTTATGGCCGGAAATTGACGTATTTTTGACGAGTACATCTTTCGCAACCGACTTTGCTAGAAACCGGCGAAGACTACGAGTCACACCTTCCATAAAGTATCATGGGCACCACCCCTGTATAGTGAGAGCTCCTCTGACCGGTGGCCCCTCCCTCTTGAATGATATCAGCCCTCCTGCGTGATCACTTCTGCTCTGAAGATTCAAAGTCCCGTCTCCTCTTTCCGCAGTCACCGGCGCCCGTAGGCATGGGCATGAATGAAAACATTCTAAACATAGCCGTCCATGGCTTCATGCGTTCGCTGGGTAATAAGTGTATCTAGATTGTCTCTTTAGCTTATTTCTGACAACCTGACAAGATGAAAAATGTTAATTTGCCTTAAAATCGTCCCTTCAAAGACCGGAATGGCCCATACACACTGAAATTGGAGTCCAATAATCTGTGGCATTGTTCGATCAATGCGCTCACCGTTTGACCAGCATATCTCAAATTGCGTCATTCTAACATTGCGTTGGAATCAAAGTTATTACGTGGGTTTGCAGCAGGATAAATGTGCCAGGTTTAGTAAACCCCAGTACATAACTTCTAATGGCATTTTCATGGCACACACGCCTTATGACGAGTGTCCCACCACCTCGTGTCACGTCATGTCGTGTATACATTGCACACACGGCTAATGTGTGTGTCCCACCACACCGTGTCACGTCATGCCACGTTGTCATTGGTGTTGTGCCCGCAATGTCCGAGCGAAACCTCTCTTGGAATTAAATTTCGCATTGAACAAATAGCGTGAAAAGGCCGTTACCAAACCGATGCAATACAATCTATAGGGAACAGACAGAACAATTTCTGGCCCGGCCTGGTATTGAGCGCACGGACCTTAAATTTGGGACCCGGTGCGTTGCCGCCTACGCCACCGAAACCGTAACGCGTCCTGGTTCTGTGATTGTGGAAATGTTCATCTTGATTCGTGAGTGAGAGGGCTGAGTGGTGAAACACTCAGACCTCAAAATCGGCAGTAACGTCCAAATGTTAGTAAAGATGCTCCCAAGTCCCAACACAAGTTCATTGGCTCCATCGTGGCCTGAATATTTGCTCTTTTATAATACATTTAAATGGAATCTGACATTATCCCAATGCACTTTAACCACTTGGCATCATTCCTAATGCACCTTAACCACTGGCTGTCATTATTTGCTTTAGGGAGGGGAATCTAACTGAGTTATGCAAAATCGTCACCTCTTTTCGCAACTCTCGTGTGATCATTGCTTAACAGCAATTCATCCATGGTTTAATTACCACGGGTGCACGAAGCAAACGGCTGTGTGCATGACGTGCCAAAATGCAGCGAGGGTCTGGCCCCTCATCGCCCTTACAAGCAAAAGATTCAGGAAAACTCTGTTTATTTCGTCCGTCCTCTTTTGCTGCCTAGAAAACACCATTCGAATGAAAGTTCCCGGATAATTCTCCGACTACATTACGCCGTTCGACAATCCTTAGCACTGAATCTAAAACAGTTTCTAAAAGTCACGGGTAACTTAATCGCCATTCATTACCTGAACTAAAACAACCTTGAGTTCAGCCCCTTGTTCAGGTCGTGTTGTCGTCCTTACAAACCATGAAGCTTAAAGCGGCCATGTAATTCATGAATGGGAGCTACTGGGTACAGGTCCTCGGTTCAGACCATCTCCAAAACCTAAGCAGTGCCAAACCATTGGCTCGGGAGCTCATGCTCAACTGACCACACAGCAAAGAACCGATAAAAATGCGTGTCGGCGTATTTACTGTGTTGACATCCCATCATGTGCCCGTCGAGTGAGGGCTCAATTTACCCCCCCCCCCCCCCCTCCCCGAAGGATTTGCCGGGATGATTTCCGAACGGCAGGGCATGGCCGCGCCAAATGTTGTTCTGCTGTAGACAATTAAATAATAAATCGTTTGGCATCAAAAATTTAGATATGCCTCGTAAGGTAGCAGACCTAATGCATGTCACAGTCAGGCTATGGATTTAGCGAAAACAATTCTGGGGCGTCGTTCTGATACCACAACGGAGTGTTAGACGAAGCCACACATCTCCTGTTTTATTTCTCTAGAGCTTGCTAAATGCGGTAGCTTCTGCTGTTCATTTTGAATTTATTTTCAACAGTAACTGCAATATACATCTTCCATGGACTTCTTCAGTCAGAACAGGTCACTGATCTAAAATGATCTAGATCAATATTTTGCTTGTAGGGAACATAATGCGAAGCCTAATCTTTGACGCTTATTTAAACGCAAAAATAAAGCGGTCCTGCATGATTTTGGTCACCATGACCTTCGAAAGATCATACGTGGTCACTGACCTTAAGTAAACACTATTAACGTTTCGCTCACAACGGGTATTTAGGCTAACGGCGGTTGCATGAGAAGGTTTGACGGCAATCAGACACCACTCTGGAGTTTGACCTTGTTTGGCCTTATTTGCCCCAAAAGTAATGACTTAGATACCCCAAACTTTGACATAAGTGAGTTCATGCACAGGCAAATAATGTGGTTAACAGACTTAATACACCCTGTAAATTTGGTGTATCCCGCTCCCTTAGTTTCAGAGATCTCAGGGAGATCAAACTGATCCTCCAGCCGAACGAAGGGTATTCAACCGGCCACCCGGGCGGGTGTTAAGTTATCAAAATATTGGAACAGAAATACAGGCAGATAATAAACTTGTCTACAGCGCAAAAATGGCAAAAACCCCTTTTCCGTAAATTGCGGTCCGAAACAATCCTACCTGCATACTTAAAATGCGTACTAAATCAGCTGGATTAGGGGCCGGCGGACAGAAACTCAATTTAATTGGTGACAATTCCTGCAGACATTTGCGAAGATCGTCTTCCGAATGATTCATTGACCGCTTGCCGGGTTTGAAAGCCAGTCTAACGAACTTTTGTCCTTGCATTGTCCCTTTCATATGACTCACCGGGCTTTCGAGCAGACTTTCTGACCTCGATGCGGTGTAAACTCGTTGAAATGGAAAGAACCTCAATGCACGGTAGATATTCCAAAAATACATTAAGAGCTATGCGCGTCATAAACAAACAGCTGCGTGTCGGATCACAATGTCAGTCATTCTGATTCCAGTTTTTCGTTAAGACTCGTGTGATTTTCTAAATTAACTGACCAGCGATAAAGAATGCGTTGCGATGCACGTCACTTTCCGTAAAATTTAATCAAAACGGTGCGCATTGCAGGTACACATGTCCAATAAAGAATCCGTCATTCACGGCTCCAGTGCTCCGATACTCGTGCTATTGACGAAATGAGTGATCGATGGTATAAGAATAACGTGCATTGCGCGTCATTTTGTCCAAGTTTACATCGAGACCTGTGCGCATCGCAACTTAGCAGCTACGTGTCGACGAAACTAAGATTGTCGTTCCTGATCCTAACTTGCTTGAAGACTTAAGCCAGTCGTTCAACTATTCATGAAGACAAATAAACATTTCTCAACAGATTTACCTCAAGAACTGAGCGCGCTGCAAAAAGCGTTGCTTACATTTCGTAGAATCTGTCTTTCCGACCCCAATTTTACGTGAAGACTCGAACAGGTTACGAAACTGACACGTGTGATCAGGATCTGGGTACATGACTTGGCGGTTCGTTTGCAACACGCTCATTCTTGTCTTTCTCCCGACCTGCTTCTGAGCCTAATGCATTAATTTTGAATTCACATTCACACATCTACGCAGACGGCGCCAATTGTACATGCACGCGGTACGACTCCCCTCGGCGACAGTCCCAATGAAACAATCTTTCATGTAATATGACCTACCTGCCGCGTGACTTCGAAGCTCGACCCCAACGCGCGGGATTAGCCCCACCTGGCACGTGGCAAGCGCATTCTATCTGATGATTCTCCTTTTAGTATTACACAGCGGAGTTTTCGCACGTACTTGGCGTCTGACAAATGTAGCAACAGGGAGGGGGGGGGGGGGAAGAGGTAAAGAGGCATGGGCGAAGAGGAATGGAAACGGAGAACAGACTGCAGTGCCTCAGCTATTCGTCGCAGCTCCTCCACACACACGTCGGCGGCTGCAATGGTCGAGCGCAGGGTGCCTCCGTCCCGTGAGAGCGCCCTAGTCAGAGTGCTGCTCTCTTGCTGAGTCCGCGCTGGTCCCGCGAGTCGTCTCAAATGTGACACTCCCGCGGGTTTTGTTCTACAAGCCTCTCCTTTAGGATTCCGGCCATCAGTCAAGCTCGCTTCCATTCGTGTTTCTGCTCAGGTCCGTTCCGCATACGCTCTTCCTTGGCCAGTTATACACCCAAGGTCTCGGAGAAAAACGAGTGTCAGTATGCCCGGGGTGATGCCTGGCCCTGAGGTGTTGCTGTCGTAGCGTTGTGCCGCGTACTGATTGGCTGGGGCCCGGGATCGAGCTCAGGCTCGGACTCCGAACTTGCTCACAAGGCTGGCGGTTGCATCAGCTGGCTCGGCTCTGCACAGGTCTTTCTTGGTCGTCCGCTGGTGGTCTGTCGACCCCGGTGCGGCGCACACGAGAGCGGCGTGGGATGCGGCCCCAACGGGTCACCCACTCCCTAGCTGCCTCGCGCTCTGGATAAGCTTCTTCGCGCCCTTCCGGCGCAGCCTGTGCACTCAGACGCCTTGTAGCCGGCTGACTCGTCGCTTGCCCTCTGCCTTACATGTGGAGAACCAGCTGTTATGCAAAGTAGGAGGGAACTGGGACGGGGGGAGAAAGATGGAATACAAAAGGGACGATACTAACAAAAGATTAAGGAATATCTACACGCGGTATAAGTCAAATGTAAGCTCTGCCTTACAGTAACATTCATGACACCAACATTTTGCAAAATTAGTACTGCAAACATTACAGAACAAACACAGTGGAGAAAGAAAGGCAGCTGAAATGCATTTCTTTCATAGTGGTGAGCAGGAAGCACAATGAAATTTGTCCCGCAGAAGTGGCTACTCTCGATCCAAATTCTGAGCTATTCAGGAGTCTAAAAAAGCTGGTATTATCAATCAAACTGCATGCGTCTGATCTCACAATAAGTGAAAAGCTCGAATAGATGGAATGCTCCATTTAAAAGGTGTGTTCCACATTTGTATGGGGTTTTGAACTGCAATAGCCATCTTGAAGATTATTCGGTGCAGTTGACAGCTCCGCCTTTCTAAGTACCCAAACTTTTTTCTAGTTTCTGATCAACACGCCGGTGAAGATTCGCGGACTTTTTTAGGGAGACCATTTCAAGGTCACTAAGGCATACATGCCACTACAGCAACGTCATTCATGTCCTGCGATTCCATTACCCATGAGGCGATAACGGCCAGTCAAGATGTCATTGTCGTACTGTTCATACATGACATTACAGCACACATGACACCACATACATGATACTACAGTCACCACGGCATACGTGACACCACAGCAACGTCATTAATGTCCTGCGATTCCATTACCCATGAGGCGAAAGGGGACAATAAAGATGTTATTGTTGAAACTGTTCACATCTGGTGTTCATATGCACGATTTCGAGACAAAACGGCCATCTTAATCAATGTCGTGGAAGGTATGATGATATAATAAAACAATGACGTATTAGGGGGCATATTTACTAGAATGAGAAGTTGTGTTGTCTAGAGCAATCTTTCCCACTAAGTACACCAATAGTTATAAATGAGCTTATTTCATCCTATCTCATGCTTGCTCCAATGCTTTCAAGTGTGTCATTCCTCTTAAACATAGTTTTTCATATCTGAATGAGGGTTTGGAATGAACTAGTCATGTTGAAAATCATTTGATACAATTAACCGCCCTGCCCTTCTTAATGCCTAAAGCCCTCCAGTTTCTGAGCTACACGCCCACGAAGACGAGCCGGCTATTACAGGGAGATGTTTCAAGGTCACTCGGGCATTCTTAACGCCATTCAAATCCTGTCATTCCACTAGCCATGCGGCGATCATGGCCAAAACAAATATAACTGTCCGTCATTCATTTCTAGCGTTCGTGAGCACAATTTCCTGACATAACGATTGCCAATTGGCTCTCAATCATTATTGTACATGGTATGATGATGCAATTAAGCAATAGCACATTGAGCAGCATATTTGCTTAACAGATAAATTGAGCTGTCTAGAGCAGTCTTCTCAAATTGTATGTTCCAACGGGCATGAATGAGTCAAATGTTCTGCATCTAAAGACAGTGAGGCAGGCATCACACATGATGAAATAGGCTCATCTGCAGCTATTCATATAACAAATGTGCTCCCCACATTTCCATTGTTTGATAATGCCCTGAAATGTTTGAATGACTAGAGGGGTGTATTGCTTCACCTGCTTGTTTGCATTCTTCTTCTCCCCGTCCATTAAAAATATAACATGGAAACGTTACCTACATTATGGCCACAAGATGGTAGCACTCATCGCAAGGGGCACTGCCCGGTGACCTCTAATCTTGGGTCGGCCCACTAGAGACCCTTCCATTGCATATCACAATGACCGTGCACATCTCGCACATGGGCTTAACCCCACCGTAGAGGCATCTGACATTGTGTGGCTATCCAGGTCCTCTACACCGACCTGAGCATATAACATCGGTTGACAGCCAAATGATTGTGCTGATGCTAGATATCATGCTGATGTTGTTCACCAAATAAAAATAACTCCATATTCATATTTATCATGACTTTGAACACTACATGGCCAATGGAATTGCAGTACTTGTGTAATGTTGCTGGGGCATTATGTATGCTGTGGTGACTTTGGGATAGTGCACACACAATAGTATGCATCAGTTCACAGACATCTAGCTCAGAAACCAGGGGGTTAAGTCTTCAGAAGGACACGACTGGGCTGGGAACTGCACTGAATGATCTTCATAATGGCCACTTCATCTCAAAACTGCACACCAACATGGAACACACCCAACACATTATGCCTGCCGAAGTCTCTCACCAGTGATCTCTAGTAGCCTGTCTGCCAGGGTGCTCTTGCCATGGTCAATGTGTGCAATAACACTGAAGTTGCGGGTCCTCTCGGCTGGGATATGGGATATGTCCAGCACTTCAGCTGAGCCTGGAATGCTGGTAGCAGCATATAATCTTCCTCTTAAAATATTCCTGGTTTGAGGAAACAATTACAGAAATTAGGCAATCAGCAAACGCTCTGTTGGCTGCAGCTGGGGCCTGGCATTCGACACCTTGCAAGCACTACACAATTTGTAAACTTCAGCTTACAAGAATCAACTGTCATGTGCAGGTATAACTTGTTGTAAACCCTTGAAACAGAGCAAAACATGTTCTACAGCAAAAAGGTATCACCAGAAAGATGAATTCAGATAATAAATAATGCATTTGCATGAATGCATGAACTTCTATCTAACATCTGTACACTGTGACTCACACAAATTTCAGGTGGTGCAATGTTCCAAATAATACTGTAGGAAATCAAAATGACAACTTCATTTGTTAACTAGTGGCATGAGATGATAAGAATTTAACTGATCAGTGAGTGCTAAAAATAGCAGACATTATGCTGTGTCCATCCACAGACTGCAATAGGCTTGACAGCATTCACCATGAGTACGATGAATGCCTGCATTTAAAATGTGGAAGTAAAGCTGTTTGTGTGCCTTATACACATATTTTTAGAGGAGTAGCACCTACCATAGATTTTGCTGCTGGACCCAACCCAAGCCATCAACTGAGCAAATTTTACTCGACCGCATGATGATACGCCGGCAGAATAGAGGGTTCATAGTTTTGGTGCAGCCTCGCTAGCTTATTTCGAGAGTAACCAAAGTACGCAACATTCAAGCGCACGCGACCACCGGGGCGAAGACTCACAACTGTCCTCATGGGCCGTCGGAAGGCGACCACATGTTTCACAAATGTACCTCAAATGGCCAAACCTGGGGGTCCCATCTAGTATAAAATATGGCAGCAACGGCGCACATTTCACAACTAGCCGCAGAGTTCCCATGTTAAAATGACCTTTAGGCCCACGGCTTTCTAAATCTTGAACATATATATGCATAAAAAGTGCATAGAAATAAAGTTTGAACAATTCTCTTTCGATTTCCAAGATGAAAAGCGCGCGCCGGGGCACTCGTTTTCGAGCTATCAGGCAAAGTGCAGACCCATGCACGCCCCACGACGTCCGGGCGTGGGATTGAATCCCTGAATTCTGATTATATATATATATATATATGTATATATATATATATATATATATATATATATATATATATATATATATATCGTATGCATATATATGCATATTATGTATAGCCTGAAAATGCATCTGCTGTGCCGTGAAATATGCTGCAAGCTATTACAAGAAATACACATGAAATCTTTTTATATCCATCAAATATACCTGACAGGTGTTACGCAGCCGTCGGGCTACATGCAACAGCTATGGCTGGGGCGCATAGCATTACTGTGCCTGACGCATGGAACCTATCGCGACGGTAGCGGTCCGAGGCTGGCCATCCAACGCGCCCAGAGGTAGGACCAGGCACCGTGTTAGGTTCTTAAATTGTGATGCTGGCGACCACTGTTGTGCAGGGCCGGCAGTGCCGCTTCAGGACCAGCGCAGCAACGATAGCATAGTAGCATTACAAGCACCACTGATGGGGAAGCAGTCGTGCTTAAAAGCAGGATGGTAAGCATTCTAATGATAAGTGCCATAATCATGATCTGTACTGCACAAAGGCCCTGATATGACAAAATTTATAAAACTTCTTTGATTAATCTTGAAGAGCTTAAACACCTGACAGACCTATGGCCTAAGTAACCATGCTCCCTAAAACCATTTGCATGAAGGGTTTTGGGCATAAGGTGAATACAAACACCTTATCACTGGCTCCACTGAATAAATAAACCTGAAAAATCTTCCTTTCACATCACAAAACCTGCAAAATAAATATTTGAAACATCCATGACATATTTTTTTGATTCCTCATCAAGCCTTGTAATTTGTAACTTTACCTTCCATCCATTAACCTCAGAGTAGGAAAGGTACACCTAAGCAGCTGAAGTGAAATGGGCGGCTTAGGCAGATTTAGAAGGTGCATCAGTATCTGAAACATATGCAGCCTTGGCCCAAGGCAATACAAACTATCAATGGACTTTGGATTGACCCAAACCATGCCCCAGTTATGCACATTTTCATATAAATGCAACATGTTGCATTGATATAATATTTATGTACCACCCTGTTCTCACCATTTCCTCATATTGTTATGAGGAAATTGTGTTGATATAAATTATGCAATGATGTTGTGTAATGGATAGTGCTGAGGACAGGGTTACAACTAGCATTCAGAATATTGTAATATTTGACACAAAACATCAGTTTCTATAAATTTCACAAATCTGAAAACTTCCCTTGCATAAGCAGACATTCTATAATGTTAGAATTATTCTGATAGCCCTGTATCATACATGATTAATTATTTCTGCATGAGACTTGTCATAAATCATAAAGATCATCTATCTTGCTGACTAACTGTACATTTCAGGTACAACACAAACCAATGCATCCATTAAATACATTAACTACAGCATTTGCTGCTTACATTGGATATATTTACCAGGCATAGGTTATTGTTCAATGTCAGGTTTATGCTGCATACAGTTGCATGGAGTGATTGCATTTTGTGATGGTGACCTCCTCCAACAATGTTGAAATGCATGAGCAAATGTTGGCTTGCCCTTCCCATATTGTTGCTAGAATATTACAAAACAAACTAAGGTAAAAGTGACTATCACATCATGATGACCTGCTTTGGGCATTATTTGATGACATTGGCTGGACTTTTGAAGGAAAGACACAAAGCTACAACTTTAAGTAGCCTTAAATCAAAATGAGGTGTCCAGACACAATGAAAAGCACTTATTAGGTGGAGGCGAGGTAGGGTTGCCCTCAGCACAGCCCACCAGTATGCCACACACATTGATTCCTCTGATCTGAAAGAAACATAACTTATGATTTCACATAAGTCAAATTATGCCAGAAAACTCAGACAATTTTTGACATAACATGACCTTTTCTAAACAGTGCAGGCAGATAACTCCTTTGGTGAAATGGCATATCATGTATGTGCACAACATTGCCTCATACCAACCATTTCTGTCACATTATAGTGCCTTTCATGTCTCAATAAACACATCTAATGCAATCACACAGCTGTGCTGAACTGACATTATTACTGGTTGGCCCATTTCATGGGTGGTAATGCCACTGTGGACAAAGACTATCAATGCTTATGTGGAATATTCAAATGCCAATCAGACAACACTCTCAATATTCATGTATTGAAAAATAACAAGACCCTTAGCTCCAACATAAATATACCTGAGCACACCTTGGCAAATCACTTTGCATGCAGCATTCCACAAGCATTAAACAGACGGTAGCCTACGCCATAACATTCATAACTGGCAAGTTGTGCAGAAACTGAATCATTACATTATCAGTTTTGCTGCAGAATGTTCAAATGAGTCATAACATGTAAACTGAGACATAATGTGACTTGGCAACGAACAACATACATCTGATTAGCCCAGAGGCATTTGAAATTACTTCACAACCTGATCCTCTAACCACCATCCCCAATACTGCACCACAATTCAAGTGTTTTGCGACTGAGAAATGTGATTACATTTAATCGCAACAAACAAACCAAAGATGCCGCTAGCACGGCACTGCCGACTTTTGGTACAACATCCTAAATCTGGTGTTAATCCCGATTCTGGTATACTTATAGTATGTGTCGATACCTACTAGTCAAAACTTTGGAGTACCCGGTGTTATATTGCCCTGGGTCAAATCGGATTTTGACTGCGACGAAATCGGCTGGCATTCTAGAGTTCTGTGAACAGAAATGTCTCGAAAACAATTCTCCATACCGCTGCAATCCCGTCCGCTTCTCTCTAGATCGAGATGATCGTATTTCGCACGGTACCTCACAGGTACCAATTTCTGCGAGACGAAATCAAGGACGGATCCAGGGGCGGGGGGGCAACATTTGTCTAGGGCCTTGGGCAACCAAGCCATGCTTCATTATGATGGTCAACGTCCTTCGAAAAATGGCATTTCTAGAGCCTAGACCTCGAAGACAGCGAAGTAATTTCAGTCAAGGGCAGTGTGTTTAGGAACATTTGTACTAAAGCAAGCGGAAGGTGCACCACGCGAGGAATTCAGCATGATGTAGCGCAAAGTGCAACGATTTCGTAGATCTTGATGGTTTTCAGTACTCAGTTCAAACGGCTTCGTCCCTGGTTGAAAAAGCTGAGCCCAATGAGCTTAACTAGCCATAAGTCATTCTCGTAGAAAGCAGATTATAACTCATGTGTAAAGTTTTGCAAAAAAATTGTCTGATCAATAGACCTGAAACATGTTTTTGTTGTTGCGGTAAAGTTTTTGGTAAATTTAACCAACATATAGTATTTTTTGCTCATGGTTTGGTGTACATTACAGCCAGCCTCAAAAACCTTCAACTCATTCAGGTCAAGCTCATCGTGTGGGGTTCGTTCGGGCTATCGGTGTTCCCTGGTTGGAGTTCCGGAGTTGCCCGGGTGAAACCGTTCCAAAAATTTATTAATAAAGGTGAGTAAGCGCTACGTTGCAGGAGAGGCAATCAGAACCAGGCCAGTATGCTCAATTCAATTAACTTTGAGATGCAAGTATTGCTCGCGCCGTTGTCCCGGTCAATGATAATGATAATGTTACAACGTCTCGACATAGTAGGTTAACCTAAGTACGTTATGTTTTGATGGGCCATTGCACATAAATCGGCTTCTTTAAGGTAGCAAATGTAAATAATCATTCAATCGATACATCTACACCCTTACCTTCAAGCTTTAATATTACCAGTAGGGAACTTCCGAGCTCTCCAGAGACGAAACACTTTGGCACCATTGATATAAGATAGTCAACTTGCAGTTCCTCTGAGAATACAGCCTTTTAAAGAAAATATGAAATGACACCAGAATGTATCCTAACCTTACCTAACCTAGCCTAAGCTAGTGATCTGACCTAACCTAGCCTAACCTAGCTTAGCTTAACTTAACTTAGCCCAACTTAATCTAATCTAACCTAACCTAGCATGACACAACATAACCCAATAATATAACCTAAACTAACCTATCCTAACCCAACCCAACCATGCTATTGTCAGCTGACAACTCCCCCAATCAATCCCCTGCAAAACCATGTCCTGTCAGTATTAGTGCTATTAGTGTGGCATGATCCATGACTGACCTCTGTCATTGTTGTTGTGATTTTTATATTTGGAGGGTAAGGTGATTAGATTTCCATGAAATGTTCTTGCTTCATGACTATTTATGGGGTCTGATTCTTAAGAATATCCATTGGGGAATGGTGTGATATTGTTGTGTCATGCACCAATGTGTACCATGACCTAGGTACTGGATGTTGGCTGTGGCTGCCTAAACATCATCCCAAATATTTTGTGCAATATTGTTTTTAGCTCTCCAGTTACACTTTGTGATGTTGCTAACCAATTATGGGTCAGGGTGTGCTTTCCTACCTAATGTTCAAACAAATCATTGTACACCATTCGCCGTGTTTAAGGCAGGACATATCGTAAATAATCACAAAACAGGTAGATTCATGCTCTTACCTTCAAATTTTTCTAATTACGATGGCGAGCTCCCGAGCGCCCCACACACACAGCACCCGCGACATCAGCGCCATTACTGCGCACTGTCACAACATTACTGCGCATCAAGCAGCATCAAGAACCATAAAAATGTATGGACCAAGGTAACAAGAATCCATGAAATTTGATCTGATAGGTTAGGTTAGGTTGGGTTAGGTTAGGCTAATTTAGGATATGCTCTGCACTATTTTGGCCTGTGTTTCATGAACGTACCTAAACTTGATAGAAACGATTTTGGTTGCTTTATCATTGCTACCTTGGTCCCGTACATTTTTTATGGTTCTTGATAAGCAGAAATATTGTGCTTACGCAACAACGCAGAAACGGCGCTTGGGAGTAGAGGCGGTGCGGTGCGGTGCGTGCGGCGCTCGGGAGCTCGCTATCGTATTTATTAAAATTCGAGGGCAGGAGCATGATTCTACCTGTTTTGAAATTATTTACGATATGTTCCGCCTTAAACACGACGAATGGTTTACCTTGGTTCCGTACATTTTGTAGAGTTCTTGGTAAGCAGAAATATTGTATTTACGCAACGGCAACGCAGAAACGGCGCTGGGGAGTCCAGGCGGTGCGGTTCGCGCGGCTCTCGGGAGCCCGCCATCGAAGTTATTGAAATTCGAAGGTAGGAGCATGATTCTACCTGTTTTGAGATTACTTCCGATATGTGCCGCTTTAAACACGCGAATGGTGTGCAATGAGTTTTTCTAACGTCAGGTAGGAAAGTACACCTACACCCAATTATGTATGTGTGTGGCCTGTGGGATCTCAGAAATTGGTGTATTATTATATAATTGTCATGGAGGGATCATGGCCAGCTCACCAAGAGAACATGTTATGCAGTGTTTTTTTGCGATGTTCTAGAATGTGTAGTTGCATTGTGCTGGTATCCTTTACTGTGCCATACAATCAGAATATCCGCTCCATGCCGTGCCATATCCTTTGCCACGTGTCAAAGTTGTGTGGGTTGTGTTGTGCCTTGCCAAAGTTGTGTGACCGCAGGCAACCTGTTATCAAAATTGTGAACTGCGTAATTCAAAAGTTTTTGCACCTCTGCCAATGGAATGAGTCATGCATGCAGTTAAGACTAAGTTCACATCTTTTATATTTTGTATTGATTGTTTTAGGCTGCTTGTCTATCATCATTGGGCACTGCCCACTGGACAGTCAATAGCAAAATGCATGTATGCATCATTCCTGAGCATTAGTGAGGTACTTTTGAAGCCTGCATGCAGTTTGGGGAAGATTCAAATGTCTGTATATTAGGGAGCATATAGGTTTGGCTTAAAAATCAATTATGCATGCATGACAAAGGCTGGATGATAAGCAGGGTGCTGGTAGTGCAGTGGTGGACGCATCTGCATTAACCGCTGCACGCCTGGGAAACCAGGTGCCCACCCTTCCTGCCAGGGTGAGAGGCAGGCAACGCCATATAGCCTCAGTAGCTGAGTGCGTTGTGAAAAGCCTCAATGACACACACCCACATGCTGGAAGATAAGCTGGTGCCAAAATGCCAATGACCTGGTTTGTTAGCATTATTTATATTGGTGGGTGGCTTATATGCTGGTGCATATCCACAGCTTAATTTTGTTTCTCCCAATAAGTGCTGTAGATTTTGTGCCTGGTTCTCAGCCTTGGGATCCAATGCTAAAATTCCAGGTTTGCTTTTAGCATTCAACAACTATACAGAGCAACAGGCAAACCATACGGCTTAACATAAGTGCATAACATAAGTGCATAACATAGGTGGAAGCTATAAATCTTGTAGGGTGCTCCCACCTATGTCATTGTTTTCATTATTGCTCTGTTATGCCAGAAGTGGGATTGACAGGCAGCCCCTGAATTACATCTGTATCTGACCACACATTTCTTCAAAATCTTAAATGTCACACATAAGGGCTCAAAATGACCATGGTGGTTTGTGTGCTCTTGACCCCAATAATCACCATTGTCACGCAAAGTCAGACATCAGAGCACCCTGCTGTGGAATAAGATTACTGAGTGGCTGGTGCACCCACTGCGGCAGATGTCAGAGAGGCGTGAGTATGGCGCTGCCGCCGACCGACTGACGCTGGGATTGGACGCCGGCCGGCCGCAGCTTGGCGCCCAGGTGCACCCGGCGCAGGCGTCCGTGGCGCGCAGCCAGCGGCTGGAGGCCGAGCTGCGCGGCGACTGGCTGCGCCGCGTGCAGGGCGTGCACGCGCCACTCCGCCAGCAGGCCGAGCTGCGCGCCGCCGGCCGCGTCGGCCGCCTGCCGTTCATGCGCTCCTCGAACCTGATGGCCGATACGCTGACCGGCCGCGACGAGACGCTCGGTGAGCACCACCTGACCTGGCCCCGCGCCGCGGGTGAAGTGGCACTGGCCTGCGGTTCAACGGCACACGGACGGGGTGAACTGTTGATGTAGCTTCCGTGGTTGTTTACGCCGTCGATGCGCGTAGAAAGCGTAGCTTGTGACCGGTTCGTATAGCGGCAGTGCTTTGATGCACGCTGGGGTTCCTTCCCAATGTTCACGACCGTCACGACCTGGGGCCGTATGTGTACCTTATGTTGTCTGATCTAATAGTTATGTTCAATGGCCGATGTCTCTGTTTGCAGACTTCAGCGACTACCTCGGCGCCGTAGAGGGCTCCGAAGTGATGGGACTCCCGCACGCCGTGGTGGAGAAGCAGCTGGGTCTACTGTGACGCGACCGGGATCGGCCCCTCCAGTGACAGTGCTGTACACAAGTCGAGCTGGCTTGCCTCGGTCGGTCCGAGCGGACACGCTGCGCGTATGCTGCGACATGAGATCTGCGCATGTGATGCCGTCTGTCGATGATCGCTTGGGTCGCAGGCCAATGCAGGCGAAACACTCTCGTCATACACATCGTCTTCAGCCCAGCCAGCGTGTTTTGCCTGATGCCGCGGGCCGGGCGTTGGTTCGATCAGTAACACATGGGGAGCAGGCTGTGCTACTGGGATGGTGACGTGTGCTATTGATGAGATACCAATACCAACTAGCCAAGTGTAGCAGATCCATATCCAAACCCACAGGTAGCACCTGATGTCAGGCCTTTCCTCCGCCTAACAGTTGGGAGCCAATTCTCTAGGAAATCCGTACGGATGTTGCAGTTTATCATTCAATGTACCCGTAACACGTACTATCGTTTCCGAGCATCATCTGGGCATGGCTGCCCGAGAAACGGCGCTTCGTATCAACATCCATTTTCCAGTTGACCTACCTACGTCGACATACGAATTTCACTGGAGCATTAAACAAAGCAAGACACATTGCTGTCCTGAAATGTCAAGGTCTGAGCATAGTCTTACTTGAAACATTGTTCCGCATGGGAAAAGAATAGTACTGAAAGACACTGCATCATTCAGTAGTTTGGGCACTACTGAGTTCCAATTACCCAGCAGAAGAAACGGGGTTACATGTTTCCCACGTTTCACATGATGGTCATAAGATGCAACACACACACACACGCACGCACGCACGCACGCACGCACGCACGCATCGCACGCACGCACGGCACGGGCCAACACCGCACGCACGCACGCACGCACGCACGCCACGCACCACGCACGCACGCACGCACGCACGCAAACACACACACCAACACAACACACACACACACACACACAACACACAACACATCAGCGAAACCGCCCACTTTCCGTATGGTCATTTGCGTTCTGGCAGCGAGCATCGCGGCCACCGCTAGGTGATACTTCCCGTACTAATCGATAACTAGAAGGACGGTACTTTTTGTATACTTCTGTTGAGCAATGGTCAAGGAAGGATCACAAGGGACACGAGCAAAGTGGCCCGTCACCCATCTGACCGGCCGCACGCGCGGGCAACGCACCAGCGGCCGCGCGGGCCATTGGTTCCAACAGTGGGCGGGCAGTCATGACAAGTACACTCGGACGCTTGATAGGCCAGCGCCCGCCTGCGTGCCAAGCGCGTGAACTGAAATCGAATGAAGAGTTAGCAGGTCGGTTCACGATGCAGCAAATGTTAACGTATTGTATGCCACATTTCATGCCCGCAGTTACAATTGTCTGCTGAAATGCAGCATATAGCGAGTTTGGTAAGGAACATTCAAGAAAAAAACTGTGCTGTAACAAATAAATCGACCCTGATTCAACACCCCGCACAAGGGACCCGCTGGCAGACTGGATTACCAGAGTCTTGCGAACGGACTCGCCCAGATGCTGAAAGCCTCAGACACAGACGGAGCCTACTGTCGCGGCCGTCCGCGAGCAGGCCCTAACCACAAGCCAGGGTGCCACGTGACCAAACTGGTGCTCGTCAACCAGCCTCAACCCGCATCGCCGACCTCGCTAGAATCGGGCCATCACGTGACCAGGGGTAAGTAGCGGCGGACGCAGTGAGCCGTAAAGGAGGGTCTGACATCCACACAGAGTGCCAGTCGGCGCCTTACTGGCAGCTCACACGCACCACGCGCGCGTCAGCCCGCCCGCCTTCGGCCACGCTGTACGGGAAGCTCTCCAGTCCGTGACAGGCGGCACCGTGCTCTCCGGTTCGCGCCACGGCCACCAGCGCGCCGACGAAGTCCGGGTGGCGCGCCACAATGCGCGCCATGGCGGCGCGGCAGGCGTCGGTCGGCGCCGCGCCCGCGCGCATTGCCTCCCACCGCCACCAGGCCTCGGCAGGAAGCGCATCATGACGTCACCGTCCGCCGGTGGCCACGGCGCCGCCCACTTCGCCGTCCACGTACGCGCCGGCGCCGGGCACTGGGACTGTCTCCCACGCGGCTGGCGGAAGGAGGGAGGCGGGTCAGCGGAGAACGACCACGGCTCTCGAGTGGGAGGGGGCAGCAGGGGACGGCCACGGCTATGGAGTGCGGGGTGGTCAGCGGAGAACGGCCACGGTTCTCGAGTGGCAGGGGGCATCAGAGGACGGCCACGGCTATGGAGTGGGAGGGGGAAGGGCATCAGAGGACGGGCCACGGCTATGGAAGTGGGAGGGGGGAAGGGCATCAGAGGACGGCCACGGGCTATGGAGTGCTGGGGGGGTTTGGTCAGCGGAGAACGGCCCACGGTCTCAGGAGTGGGAGGGGGCAATCAGAGGACGGCCACGGGCTGTGATGTGCGGGGGGTGGTCAGCGAGAGAACGGTCCACGGCTCTCGGGTGGGAGGGGCGGGGGGGTGCGAGGGGCAGCGGAGGACGCGCCACCACGGCAATGGAGTTACGGGGGGGAGGTCAGCAGAGGGCGGCCACGGCTCTCCCGTGGAGGGGCGGGGGCAGCGGAGGACGGCCACGGCTATGGCGAGTACGGGGAGGGATGGTCAGCGGAGAACGGTCACGGCTCTCGAGTGGGAGAGGGTCGGGGGGGGGGGGCAGCGGAGGACCGGCCACGGCTTTATGAGTGCGGGGGTGGTCAGCGGAGAACGGTCTTCCGGCTCTCGGGTGGGAGGGGGGGGGGGGGGCAGCGGAGACAGTCCACGGCTATGGAGTGCGGGGGGGGTCAGAGAGGGCGGTCACGGCTCTCGGTGGGAGGGGCGGGGGGCAGCGGAGGACGGCCACGGCTTGGAGTGCGGGGGGGGGGTCAGCAGACGGCCACGGCTCTCGAGTGGGAGGGGCGGGGGGCAGCGGAGGACGGTCACGGCTATGGAGTGCGGGGGGTGGTCAGCGGAGAACGGTCACGGCTCTCGTGGGAGGGGCGGGGGGGCAGCGGAGGAAGGCCACGGCTGTGGAGTGCGGGGGGGGGGAGGCAGAGAGGCGGCCACGGCTCTCGAGTGGGAGGGGCGGGGGCAGCGGAGGACGGCCGTGGGCTATAGTATAAACGAGATCATACAAGTTTGTTTAGCGGGTATAAAGCCAGGCAGCCCTCGTGAGCCGGGAGCCCGCTCTGCGCCCTCTCGTTACCCGGGTATCTTGTGGATAGCTCCGTTGGTGCTGGTGCCGGCGGCCATCTGGCCACGGCCGTCGATGGCCACCATGCCGATGGTGTCGTGGCTGGCCGGGCCCGCCAGGACGGCTCGTGCTGCTGTGGCGCTGCCCGGCCGCGGCGGGTACGGGCCGCACGAGGTCCGATGGGTCAGGCTCCACATTCTGAAGCGGAGGTATGCGTCCTTGCGACGGCGCGGAACGGCGACCAAAAAGACACTGATCCAACGTTGCGCTTTGATGAACCGTGTAGGACTCGCAACTTGCGCCTTTCAAACACTGGAGAACCTTTACTCCAAAGGATCGCATTGCCACTCAAAAACGCACTAGCCATAATCGGTTTCTGTTACAGTCGATTTTGCCCTGAAGACCAGCTCCAGTGTCCACACACAGCTCATACCGTCCAAAAGTTGGGCTGGCAGCTTCTCCGTTTCCAGTCCTCGTACAGTTGGCGCGAGTGTTTAGTCTCGAGGCTCTCCTCATGGAAGCCCATCTGGACGGCGAACTGGGTGGCCAGCTCGCCGACCAGCAGCGTGTGGCGCGTGTGCTCGAGGACGGCGCGCGCCACTGACGCCGCGCTCTTGACGCGCCGTAGGCAGCCCACGGCCCCCACCTTCATCGCTCGGCCCTGGCAGCAGCGGGTTCTGTTGTGACTGACCGCGCTGTCCCATGAGGCGCCGCGTGCGATACACAGGGTACACCATTGGCCTGCTGTGTGCAGGAAGAAGGGGGGGGGGGGGGTGCCGTAGCTCGGTACAGACAGCGGACGATACAAATGTGGTGGATCCTGTCATTTTGAGGGCCGGGTTGTTCCAGAGGAAAACATGCAAAATTCACTTAAGCTGGCTGGCTGAACACCATTAAAATCAATCACGAACTTGATTCCCAGCTTATGTACGGCTAGCTGGCCAGTTGATGTGATCAGCTGATAGCTGATGACTATTCAGTTTGCTTTGACTTTTATGAAAGAGTACAAATATCCTAGCATTCGACACGCATGAGGACATGATGGACAAGTATTACGTTACGAATTCAATAACCAACGGAAATAACACGCATGACGTCGGCGGCACGCATAATTTTGTTCAACAATTAAGCGCACAAATTTATCGGCGCATATCTGACTGCTGCTCTAAGGCTAAGGGGCCACGGGAAAACCGTCACCCTGTGGTCTCGGGATTCTCGGTACGCGAAGTAATTTAGTTGGGCCCGTAGTACAAGAGCAGGCTGGATCGCCTCGGCGCTCGCAAGCACGACGTGGTGCTTTCGGCAACATAATAAGGTCCTACTGAATTCATCAGAAGAGCCCACGACCAATGCGAGAGCGAGATCCTGGAGCGAGATCAGGAATGTTCCGGCAGATTGGGATTTAGGTCCGCGGCGGTGGTGGTGTAACTGTTACGGCGCTCTGCTCTTGGCCTGTCGGTCTGGGGTTCGGGCCCCGGTCACGTCAAATAAATGGGCTCCGTCAGCAGCGCAGTGTCGTCAGAACAAGCGAGAAGAACCCAAGACCAGTATAGAGGGTCCCCTAAACGATCGGGAGTACACCGGCAGGCTAACATAAAGGGCCTTGGCCAGAGCCCAGGGCCCTCTCAGCAAAGGGAGTAAATGACCCAGGTCTATTGTACATGAATTAAGGGAAAGAGCCTTAGGTCAATGTAGAGGATCCCTGATTATTGAGTGCCTCGGCGCGTTACGTTCATATGAACCACCAGCAACAGCACAGGGCCCTCCAAACAAGCGGAGAGAACCCGATACCAATATGGAGGAACCTTCAGCAACCGAGTGTGCCCCGGCTATGGGGCCCGGGAAATTGTATAAAGCCTTTCGGGCGCATTGCGAAGAATCCGTGGAGGGCCCTTGATTGATTAAGAGTGCCCAGGCATGCTACCGGATAGTGGCAGATGTAGAACCCTACTGTGCCCAGACTCTACATTCAAATAGGAAGTACTCAAGACCTGATGTGTAGGGCCTCCACACAACCGAGTGTGCCCGAGCAGGTTTACACATGGGGGTCCCCGACAAGAGGAAAGGCCCTCCACTCAAATAGGACGCTCCCAAGACCCAACGTGGAGTGCGCCCCCAGCGGATTGAC